GGGTTGGTGGGGGGGGGGGGGTGGGTGTTTGGTTTCATAATTTTAGAGTGAATTTGTTTAGGATAGCTGCTGGCATCCATTTTCTCTCTTCGATGGTTGTATCCGAGAGTTTGGGTGGTGCATGGTTGTATCCGAGAGTTTGGGTGGTGTTCCGGTTGTGTCCCTCTCTCGAGATGGTGTTTATCTTCTCTATTTCCCTTCCACATCCTCCCCAAACCACTCCTCATCGTTGTTCTCTATTGTAGTCATGTTCCCTGCGATTTCAGCACTCAAGCTTACTATCATCATTGTTTTAGCTAAATCCCTTCAACAATCCATACTGTCCTTCTGAATCAGCCGCCAACACTCCCACTTGCAATTTTCAACAGCTCACAGCCTTCCAGCCATCGCATACCTACTGCCATCGCCTTTCCAGCCCTCCCGCCTCGCTGTCATCGCTATCCCAGCCTCCACCAGCGTTGTCACAACTGCAACGCCTTCCCTTCTATGTTTTCCTACTGTCCAACCACCAAAAAGAAAATTGTCTATGTTTGAATTGTCGTCCCTTACTGCCCTATTGTTCTAGCCGCCCATAATCGCTATAGTCCCTCATCCACAGTCTGGAAACCCCTTCCTTACCTTGCCACCCACCTTTCCAAGCCCTCTAACCACCACCTCCGTCCCGGGATCCTCCATAATGTGAGTTTGTGTCGTGTGTATTGCATTTTTCCATTCAAGTGTGCTTGATTGTAACCGCATATTTGATTTTAGCAATAATAATTACATTTCCTATCGTTGTTTGGGTTAACTCCAATATCATTGTTTCTTCCATCAAGGTCGAGAGAAGAAGTATAAGGGCAATTCATTTCAAACTAATCCAAGCCATGACATGCTTCAAGCTTAAAACAAGTACGACATAACCAATATTGATTGATATTCAAATCTAAAATATAATGAAGAGGACAGTAGCATAAGAAAGCAAAAAGCACACAATCAAATGGGGAAAAAAAAGAGAACATGCATGTAGGCAAATTATTTTAATTTATCTATAGAAAAAGAAGTCATGTAGTTGACCCCACTTAGTGTGATAAAGGCTTGTTGTTGTTGTTGTTGTTGTCTCTACAGAACTATTCATCACCCAAAAAAAAAAAATTGCAACAGTTTATTCACATGAACATTCTGACCACTTCATCTGTGGTTAACATGCTTGTAAGAAATAACCTCTACAACTTAGAACTTTGTACATGAGAAGCTGAATATTTCAAATCATAAAAAACAAAAAGATATAATGTGAGGAAAAAAACCAACCTTGTCCAGCACAACACAACAGTCACTAATCATATATCGACTAGGCAAATTGTCTGTTGCATCCACCACTATGTCATATCTTTAATGGAATTAATAGCATAGGAAAACCAGTTAGATACTACGTTCTAAGAAAACTGGTATTATTATATGCTATACCATGATATGCTAAAAAATATGATGAAAGGATTACTGAAACAGGTAATTCTACATTCACGTCAAGGATACTTGCTTACAATATCCAAAGCATTTGATGGATGCAAAGCTTCATTATGTTCCACTAACTTGATTGAAGAGTTAATCCTGTAAATAGTAAAAGATACAAAAATGCAAGATGTGTTCCCTATAAATATAAGGAGCTGGTTGAGATCATTTACATTTTTTTTTTCTAATTTGTTATTTTATTTTATTTTATCTATATCCTGCTTTAAAGTAAAATATGTTTGGAATGTTTAATGAGTATATGATTATTTTTAAAAACATTCAAAACACCTAAAAATTATTTTAAGTGTTTTTAAAAATAAATAAATTTGTTTATAAAAATAAAAATTAAAAGCACGTAAAAAGTTCATTAAACAAACTTGTGTTAAAAATAACGATACAAACAAAAAAAAATGAATAATGAAAATGATCCCAAAGGGGCCCTAAGTTTAAACATCGCCATCCATGAGAGAAACAATATCAAGTGTTGTAAATGACTCAAAGCATGTGAGGGGACAAAAATCAGTTCCAGGATAATAAATACATACGCACGGCAAGCAGCAGCTGCTGACTTTACTTTCGCATGGCCAACATATGCTTCTGGATGGATAATCTAAATAAAAAAAGGTCGAAGAACAATTAATCCCCAGCAGAAGACCTTTGGCTAGTTTAGACAGAATAAATATTAATGTTTGCATAAAGGCAAAAGGTAGGCCGAACAAATGGGATCTTGAAGAAGGTCAAGCAGCTGAATCTTGTCAATTGTAATGTATAGGCAATTGAAACCTACTTGATACTATGTATACAATAGAAAGAAAAGTTAGCGGGCAATATTACAAAAATAAAGACACCATATTGATTTGATTAATAATTTCAACAATTACACTCCTCAAGTTGGAGCATATATATTATAAAGATCAAGTCTGTTCCAAACCATGGAGAAATAGAGTTGTAGCGGATCATTTATAAAAATATCTGCCAATAATTCTTTCTGGAGACTAAAGGGGTCATGATCTACTTTGATAGAATTTCATCTTTAATGAAGACGCAATTACTTAAACATGTTTTGTTCTTTCATAAAAAATATAATTACTAGGAATGTAAACCATCGTATGATTAACACACGAAGAACCTTGCATTGAGCCACAAGAAAGCTCAATTCTTTAATTAGATTTTTATCCACATCCTTCGTAGGCAGAAATGGCATAATAGCCTTATAATCAACTTCAATCCAAAGTTTAGATTTTACTTTCTCCATTTCAAGAAACCCTTCTAACATAGTATAATATGCTGAATTAGACTTTCAATCTTCAACAGATCTCGCATAATTAGCATCAAAGTAAGCTTCATTTTTTAGGTGGTTGTGTTTTGGTAAGCAAGTCATTTTATCTATCTTTAAATCTTTAAAACAGCATCCCAATATTTTTTTATTTGGGTTTGTCTATGCTGACTTACCACAACAACAACAAAAGAAATATCAGATTAGATGCATTGACGAGATAAGCATACCAACCAAACATCAATAATGGGGAGTATCTTCAAAGCTTTCCTGATTAAATATCCATTTGGGAGTGAGCAAGTTTGCACCCAAGAAGTTCAGTCCCCTTAACTCTATGGCATATTTCCTCTAGGAAAGGGAAGACCACATCTTTCTTAAGCAAACATAATGTTGAGGAAGTATTTTGGATACCCTATATTTTTAGCAGCAAATATTTTATGAAAATGGATATTTTATCTCCAAGATACTAAAATATATCAGTTCCAATGCAAAAAATGTCATCAACATAAACATCAAGGATCACAATAATAGAGAATCAATGGCTGATGAAAATAAAGTGATCAGTTGAGCTACATCGAAGATCAACATCAATAAGTGCTCTGCAAAGTTTATTAAACCAGGCACAAAAACTTTGTTTCAACCCATATATGTCCTCTCGAAGCCTATAAATTTTGCTCTCAACTTAATCAACAAACCCACGCGGCTATTTCATATAAACAACTTAGCCTGGTTTTCCATATAAAAAAGCAATGCTGACACCCATTTTAAGTAAGGTCGGCTATTGATTAATTTTCACAAAAAGGAGTTGAACGAAGTTAAGTGGAATAATGGGGATAGTCTCAACATAGTCAATGCCATAAAGAGTTGACTTGGTTCTAGGTGTGATGATAAGAAGATCCCCGATTTCAAAATAACATACAAGTTTTCAATTTGATCTACTGCTTCCTGATAAACCCAAACAAGAGACAATAAGAGTCATATTAGTCAAAATAAGGAAATAAAGGAGAAATGATCAAGGTAAAAGGTTGAATAAGATGATCAAAATAGTACTTTTAGCAATTAAGAAATAGATATTTAAGGTTTCAGGTGTAAATGTATAATAAACCAAGCTAGACTCATGAAAGGGGCTGCATCACGAGCTAAACAAAACTGGCAAGCATAAACCAATAGTGGAAAGCGAGTAAGCAGCAATGCACGAGGTGTAAGTAGAGAAACTAGATAACAAATTGTAGTGTAGGACACAGAAGATTAGGATGGTGAAGCTTCATGTTAGCATATATAAAAAAATAATGTCTAAATTGATCATAACAATGATAACCCTTTTGAGTATGAGAATACTCTAACAAAAATACTTCTTAGAACGATATGGAGTTTATCACATCTAGGATAAAAAGTGGGGAAAATAAATAACCGAAGATCCAAAGGAAATATAGAGTTGTCCAGATAAAAAAAAAACGGTGCAGTCCTACTCAGAGTAATGAAAGACAGTAGTAAGAAGCAGGCTTTGAAAATGGAACTCCCCAGAACTATCAAGGAACATTCATGTGAAATATTAAGGTACGAGTAGCAAATAATAGATGTTGATGCTAACATTGAACCATACTATTTTGTTGAGATATATAAGGATAAGAAGTTTAATACAAAGCACCAAGTTGAACACATATTGGCCACAAAGTAGTTAGCATATATTCTAGGGTACTATCAAAGTAAATAATTTCAAGGAAAAATGGGAAATTAAAATATTATTTCTTAGGGTCACTTCCATACATAGCACATAATTCTTTTGTATTTCTCATAACTAAACTTTCATATTGATGCATAACACTCAAATATTTAATATCACATTAAAAATAGCACTATTTAAAAGTAAAATACAAATTTTCATGCATAGGCTTAGAACACCAAAGTGCTATGTATGTGAATATGAAATTTTAGGTGTGATATGTAAATTTCTTTATTACTTAATAAAATTATTTGAATACGATGAAAATTTACAACTAATAATTTACCAAAAGACACCCAAATAACCCTATTGCAGACATCAATAAAAGAAACAAAATAAAGAATACTCAACTGAGCGGCCACCAGGTTCGAAGCCCAAATATCAAAATAAATCAAGTCAAAAGAAACACTATTATGAGAAGACATGGTTACGCGGGAGCTTAATCCCACGAATACCGCGGTATCACGTTTTCCGTAATTCTCGTGTGACAAAATTTTGCACTTTGTGATTGTCCATGGCAGAAAAATGTGATTTTGAGAATTAACTAGAGCAATTTTCCGATTCCAGCTGAATTTTCTTCCTTTTTGATTATTTCCTATTATCTATTTTCTAATTGGTGCACCTCCATTAGGAGATTATTTATATGTATTTCTTTGGTTGTTTGAAGGATCTTTCATTTGAGTTTTGCAAGGGCCTGTGCTTCCTTGTGGTTCCAGGATCAGGATGAGTCTGTATTCACGGTGTGGGTGGTGACAATTGTATCCTTCTGTTGTTGCTGATGACATCTCAGACCTCCTTCACCAATCCTTTGGGTGATGATTTTTGTATCCCAATCAGTTGCGAGAGGACAAAACTCATGTATCTTGTATCTTTTATTTGATTGGTGCATCTCGTCTTTGCTTTTTTTGTTTTTTTTTTTTTGTGGTCCCATGTGGTCCCAGCATGAGGATGAGTTCTGTACACACGGTGTAGGTGGTGTCAATTGTATCCCTCTGTTGTTGTTGATGGCATCTCGGGTCTCCTTCACCAATCCTTTAGGTGATGATTCTTGTATCCCAATTGGTTGCGAGAGGAGAAAACTCATGAATCTTGTATCTTTTATTTGAATTTTTTTTTCTTGTTTCGAATTGTTTTCTTGGTTGTTCTTGTTGAATCTTCTCCAACCTACCATCTCCCTTATCATGTCGACACAAAAAAAAATTATAGATAGAAGAAGGAAGATGGTGAGGAAAATGATAGAGATAATGATGCCATTTATAACAGAAGATAGTAGAAAAGAGAGTGACAATGACGTAGCATCAAAGAGAAAATAAATGCATCAAACTTTAACCTTGATACCAAACAACTTCAAGTTGAGATTTGAGATATGGACTTGGGGGATAAAAGATATAAAATAATATTGAGATTTAATTGGACAGCTTATAGATGATAGGTTCATAGAAAAATGGGAACATATAATACAATGTATTTTTTCCAAGAGATAAGAGAGAAAGATCCACCAGCAATGATGATAGGTGGGAGAAACTGCATAATAAGAGATGGAAATAATTGTGAGTACTTGTTAAGCGGAAAGAAGCACCAAAGTAGTTGTAATTGAACTGGAAAAGAAAACTGCATCAGAGGTAAAAGATGTCAATTATAAGTGTTACAGTGGGCAATCTTCCTCTTGGGAGACAGAAACAATCAAAATAAAGAGCAAAAAAATCAAGAGTAAGAGCGGCGACATGCGAAGTGGCTAAAATATAACCACTATTTCCTAATAGTATCCATATAAGTGAAGTCTTCTAACAATGTTTATAAGGTGGAAAAGATTTTCAGCCATGATTACCCTAACCGCCTGTAATGCTAGCGGTAAAATCGACATGTTTGTGATAATAAGAAGACAAAGTAGGAAGCTCAATAACTCAAAATATGTGAAAGAATGTGTGGGAGTCATGAAAATATGAGCCATAATAAAGTCACTCATTAATTGAGCTTGAAAGATAAGGGATGGATAGAGATTAGAAGGAAAATTGGCAACAAAAAAATTTTCATTATTATTTTGCCAAATAAAGGGATTAGTAATAAATGGGCGATATAATAAATTCATCCCATTTTCCTTTCCAAAATATTATAATAAATTTATACACCTTTGTTGCCTTATAATAAAGAGTAGATGCCGGAACTGAGAGTGTATGATCGAGAAATATTAATACCTTGAAACCATGTGGAACAAAGAAAATATTGAATCCCTTTGACAGTCTCCTGAACACAATGATGATGGGAATCATTGCTACAAGAGTATCGTCCATCCATTTTAGAATTGCATGGTTAAAAGATTTTCCATTTTGTCTATTTTAAGGTGCATGTTGGTTCAAAAAATGGAGATTTCAAGTGATAAAACTTCTCAAGAGAGTTAACTAGGAATTGTTAAGCTCAAGACCATAAGAGAAGATTGATGCTATTAATTCTAATAGTGGTACTAATACTGAAGGGTTTCACTTTAGAGAGTGGAGTATAAAATCCATTATTGAATGCCACAAAGAAAAGAAGACCATGATGAGCTAATTAATGATAGATAAAAAAATTCATGCATATCGTTGCAAAAGAAAAAGAATTGGATGAGACTGTTTATTAAGCACATGCACAAGTAGGAGCATGTGTAAGGAGAGAATTGCTAACAAGAGTTGCAGCAAGTTGCAGCCTATGGGGTTGAGGCAAGCATGAGGCGCACAATAGGTTAATTGTAGACGAGGGCATGGGGCTACAGGGAAGAGTGCATAAGATTGGAGATAAGTGAACACACACATCAAATGAGCGCAACGAGAGAGAACAACATACAAACGCAACAAATGGGCTTAACTGTAGACGAGAAAGGCAAGGCAAAAAAATTAACAAAAGATTGGGAGGGGTAGGGCAATAGACAATCAGCAACTAAGCTCAAACCAAACCATAATACCACGTTAAGTTAATTGAAAACTGCTTGACAACTTTCATTATAATATAGGTACTTGTATATAGACAATGAGAAGAATATACTCATTATGATAATATATTACAAAATAAAGAGAATATATTGATTCAATTAAAAATTTTTAATTTGATAAAATATCTAAGAAAATGTGTATAATTCATGAACACTCATTAGAATTATAGCAAGGCCTCCACAATTGCATAAAATGATCTGGTAATGGTTTGTTGAAAATTTTATCTGAGTAGCCAAATTTTTGTCAACATAGCTCACTTTTAATAAAAGGTTCTAGGCATTGTCATATGAATATGGAACAAGAAAGCTACTGCACTAGTCATTTGGTTCCCTAGATCTTCATATCCAAGTGCTTTAAGCTTGTATCAATCACGTATTTTTCTTTTTCAAAGAGTAAAACTAAACATTCCCATGAATTTATAAAAAAGTAAACTTGTATAATAAATTGCTTAGATAAGATAAATTGAATGATTCAAAAAGTAGAAACCTATAATATATAATTTCTATGTAGCATAATCAATTTGTCGGAGCCGCGTTAAAAAGATAGTTGGGGCTATAAGAGAACACTTATCAACTCAAATGAAGAAGATAGGCATTACCGGAAAAATCATAGTAACTATCTAGTAATCCACATGTAATGAATGATATAAAGTAAAAAACAGAAATCAAATCTATGTATTATTCTCTTGCTTTCAACATCAATCAAAAAGGTAAAATTTGTATACATTTATCATTCACAAGAAAAAGTTAAGTAACACTGAATTGGGTTTAAAATTTATAGGATTAGGCACTAAAATTGTATACAAAAAGGTTGGAATTAAGAGGCATGATCATGGTTTACAGATGGATCAACATTCATTAATAGGATGTAACTGGATATCCAATCCAATTGTCGACTGGTAAACGTATCATCTAATCAAATAATATAGAGTTAAGACAAAATTAATTAGAAGTAAATGAAACATACAATTTACCTGTCGATGTAGATTGTTGAGTTCAACAATGTCACTATCAGCAATCCCTAAGCAACCTACAATGATGAAAATTCAAAATCAGGAAAACATTAAAAAAAAACAATAATACATTTTACATGAATGATGAGTAAAGCCAAATAATTTTTAATTAAAAGTGCATGACTATTGGCAAGTCTCAAGTCAAAATTATGCCAAGAGTTTTGACCTTGGAAATCTTACATAGGAGACTATTGCTTGGCCGCCAATATGTTAGAGAGTGAAACATAAGAAAACAGTAACTGGGCATCATACATTAGTGGTCAGGCCAAATATTAAGTATATGGGTGATAAAAAATCATTTGGTATTTCTACACCAACGTAATTTTGAACTATTTAACATGAAACTAAACTCAACTCTCACATGTCTTGACAATCTCTCCCTTGCCTAACAACTTCCCACATCAGACAACACTCCCCCTCAAAGAGAAATATTTTGATATCAGGGTATCCTGCACTAAGAGCCCACCAACCTCTTGAAAAGCATAAGGAGTCACTTGCACTTGAGGTTAGCACAACTATGATAGAAAGGGCCAAAGACGCTTGGGACTCACAAACTGTATAAACTACTTAATCTCAGACAAACTATTAAATTTGATACTACTTGTTAGGAAGTGCAGTAAAATTATATTAAATTTTGACCCAATACACTATTACAATGCACATATTAAACTAAATAACTTGAGGTTTTATGGACGGTTAATAACTTAGTATTTCTACATTTACATATTTTTAAACAATTCAATATTAGAGTTAAGATTATAAAGAGTACAATCGAAATGATGCTAGAGATCAAGATGTTAGAGGACTAAAATGTGAAGTGTTATGGCCCAACAATAGCACATGGGTATTTAATAGATAAAGATACATGACAAAAGCCCTCCTGATGATTCAACTATGTTTAATAGAGGAAGTGCTGATGTAAATATTCTCGAAAAATAATTGTTGAGAATTTATAGCACAAATTGGAGTTTTTATATATACCAAATGTCTCTCCAAAACTTTGACAAATTGTACCATAAGAAAATAGTGTATTTTATCCACATGTAAGAAAGCACACCAATCGAATCACATCTAAATGGGTTGAGATAGCAAGCATTATTATTATTATTGTTTTGCTCTTTATCACTTTCCAATAAATACTTCTGAAACACCATATTGTAGGAACATGATGCAAAACGATTAGAGGGTGATAAAAATTCACTTATATCAAAAGAGTTATTGCTAAGCTCTATAGAGATTATAAAACCAACAGAGATTCATTGAAGATTAGAGGAAGATCATATTAATAAATTTAAGGAGATCACTTCCTTAGAATATAAGAGGAAATTGCACATTAAAAAATTTGTTTAACGTTTAAAAAAGAGCAAGAAACAAATGACAAGCATGAGGAGAAGAAGTTGGGGTATGCAGGTGTAATTGCATATTAATTTGGTTATAACGATGCTCTTTTGGTGTCGCCTTTTACATACATATGCAAATAGTAGTAGATTCTGGACTCAACTGTTTTGTTCACATGTATTTTGATTTGGTGATATTTTCACTTAGATGCAAGTTTAGGTATCTTTGTTAGCCTATGAAATGGAGCTAAATACAAAACTAGAGGTTCTAATATTATGCAATTGATGCCATATGATGGTGTGCTTGTTTTGTTGTTTGAAATCAAGTATGTACCAAATCTAATGAAGAATCTAATTGCTAAAGTACTCTTAGCATGCAGGATATAAGTCCTTTGGTGATATTAATGTATGTAAGCTCTAGTTGAAAGTGAATAGACTTAGTAGACCTTATGCATTGTATAGTAAAACATAAAGTAGTGATGTTATATGCATCTTTAGTAAAGCACCGCATCTTTAAGGAAACAAAGAAAAATTTTCATGTTGCAAAAAAGGTTATGGAATAAAAAGAGCCACAAATTGAGAGGATAATTCTAAGGATTATCAGGAAAATCATTTTTGTGTTCCACAGTCTAAACTAATATCAGGTTAACCTAGGAGAATCAATTCGGATTCACGGGTTAGTTTAGGTGTAACCCGACCCAAATTTGCATGACCCAAATCCAAAACTTTTATTAAATAGGACATAAAATTTGAACAGAAGCCTTCAACCCGACTATTCCAAATCCAACCCACAACCTGTTTAACATAAGGCACAACAAAAATTCAGGTCAATTTTGGATTGTCGATTAACTTTGAGTCAACTTCAAGTTAGGAGGTCAACCTGAACTAAACCCAAAAATTAAACTAGCCAGGATCTAAATTTAAACCCAACCTAAAAATTAAATAGGTCGACCTAAATTTGAATTTTTTCAGTTTTCGATTGTGTTGTCATGCCGAGTTAATTTTTGACACCCAGGTTATACCAATGCAGCATTTAGAATGAGGAAGACACTTTAGATGTGCGAAAACTCAATAATAGGTGCCTGTTTAATTTGATGGATCAACCTTAATGTAAACAGGTTTGTTAAGAAGACCACTGATTGAATTGATTAGTAACAATACAAATTGGGTAAAATTGCATAATGTTCAGCCCTTCATGGCTTTGAGAGTTTAAAGATGCTAAAAAAAAGGTGATCTGATCATTGAACACAAAGTAGGTATATTAAAAATAAATCTCGAAGTAAGAGATTATTAGTTGACTTTACAATGCATGTAATTTCATAATAATTGTAAATCTCTTGATTGAGTCTTATTTTGAGAAGAAAAAAAATCTAAGAAGTGTTATAATTAATTGAGAGATTGTTTCTTAAGTTGTATGTTGGGTTGAGAATTTCCTAAAGTTGCTATTTTTCCCTGCATCATGTTTCCCAAGGCAATGTACTTGTATCATGGCAAATAAGGGGCAAAATTTGAGTGTTATAGCAATCAACCACTGAAACCAGATACTATAACTAAAAAGCAATGATGTAAATCCCGAGTACTGTAGCAATTTGAGAAAAGATAAAAGAGATGAGTTACAATTAAAAGAGGATACTTAGGTATCTTGCATTAAAAATAAGTTCCATTGCAGCCTTCTTTATCTTCCCTAATTCAAAATGGTAGACAAACAAACTTTCTTCAGCAAACGGAGAAGGAAAAAAATTCCATTAAAAATAAAGAGGATTTTTATCCATCAAAAGTATTTGTAGTTTTAATCATTACAGCAAGCGTCTTCATCCTTGAAACATCGTCACTTGGACAGATGTTGGCAACTCTAATCATCACCGAACTGTTAAGAGATAAAAACTCCATATAACTCTTTTGATGTTTAGCAAAATATTTTGATTTCTCTATGTGGCTGAACAAGTAGGACTATTGAAGCCTAGTCATGAAACCCTTCTGTTATTTCTGTTTTAATCTCTTTTCTGGTTGTTTTGTGCTTCATCGTATCCACTTCTAAAGTTAATGCTTCCACAACTAAAATAAGGCTAGCCCTCTTTTCCAAACTCAAGTTGGGTGAGTTCTCATTTCCTGACACAATGTACTGGGATCAATGAAAATATTGAAAGTACAAGTAATTTTTTAACTTCAAACAATAAATTCATGCTCGTGAATGAAACAAAATACATAACTTGCCATGTAAAAATGTTAAATTAAGGAGAAGACGCCATGAAAGAAAAAGATATTTAAAATATAACTTTATTTTTAAAAAAAGAATGCAATTGAAAAAAAAGGTTCATTCATCCAACTTTTGAATGAATCAACAGTACCTATACCACAAGAGGCAAGATACAGCAGTGCAGGTGACCCCAACCCTCCAGCTCCAACCACCAAGATTGAGGATTTTGCAAGTTTTAGTTGTCCTATACAACCAAAAAATAAAGTCGTCATCTCAAAATATGGGAAAAAGAGTATAATTTTAAAAAGAATATTACCAAAGATGAAATATTCTTAAATAAAAAAGTCAAATTTTTTAAATGAAAATAATTGAACCGATGGTCATTTAATTTAATGATTTTAAATATACTGGCTTAATCGCAAGATGGAACTCCCTCTTTGATAAAAGTAAAGCTAGTATAGTATGTAGGCAATAGAATCACAATAAAAACAATAAAAATCAACGTGTATAGTAAATTTGAATTGAAAAAGTTTAAGTTATGCAAATGCAGCGGTGATAAGCTAATATTGAGGTCAAAAATACTCTTCATAAAATAGTTCTAACTTTATCTTCTTTTTTTGTCTCAATAAAAGTAAACTTGGTATAGTATCGAAGCAATAAAATCACAACAATCAACTTGTATAGCAAGGTTGAACTGATGATAAGCTAATATTAAAGAAAATAATACCCTTCATCAGAAATAAGACTGAAAAATTACCTTTTTTTCTCAAGTGCCATCTAACTCCTTCCTCTAAGAAGCTATGCAATTTTTTAAGACATGCAAGACTATTGGGTCTAGTTCCATATCAAATAGGTGAAAATATAAATTGATGTAGAAATACCAAATGATTGACCTTCTTTCATAGGCTTGAGATCTTGATAAAAAAGAAATGTGATCATTAGGGTATCACACCCAAATTTAGTCTTGCACTTTCACTCCTTAAGAAACTATCATAGTTGATGGTTCAGCTAAGATCAAGTGATTCATGGGTTTGTGGATCCCTTCGGTCTTGGTTAATTTTACCTTGGTTGAGTATGGTTAAAAGTATGTCACTTCCATAATGGCTCCATGTGGTCATGTGGGCTTTTAGAGCATAACACAGTTGATGAAAACTTGAAGATAATAATATTAATAATAATAATAATAATAATCCATTTTAATAGGGTGATCATTGATGTAGAGAGCTCTCATGTGAAGAGAAGACTATTAAAGCATGTGATTGTATTGAGTTTAGTCCTACCTCAAATATGTTAAAAATATCTTGATGCTACTAAATAGTTGGCCTTCCATAATAGACTTAGGCCTTTAAGTAGAAAATGGGTTCGGTCCTCATTAATCCAAACCCAGTACAATCTGGCATTAGTAGGTCCTCCAAACGTTCAGCAATCCACTGCTCAAATGCAGTCAATGCATAATGGGCTTATTGCTACGTCATTTGGCAGTTGACAAAGATGAGGATAAAAAAATTATGGCATCAAATTACAAAGAATAGATGGATGAAATAAAAACAAAAGTTAGTGCCCCTCGTTCCTTTTAAATTAGAAGTCATTATATAATCCAATGCAATCGATGATAAGTCATATATAAAAGTAATCGGTATCAAGCTATTGATTTTAATGGTTCATATTAAAGCAAATGATATAATTTTCCTATTACAACAAAAAAGAATATTTTAAAGATTCTATGGACAAGAACTTTGATATACAACTTAATTAGTAGTAGATGAATTCAGGTCTATCTTTTGGATACCAAGAAAAAAAAAAGATCTTAACCAAATTTATCAAATATTTATTTAATTAAAGACTCCATTCTAATTTTTAATTTGCTTGCCGCTGTGGTTAATGCTTACATAATTGGCCCAATTTAAGATTTCTTCTAAGATCTCATATTATCACTACTCCAAGGCGCTCTGAATATCACAATTGCTTAATTCATGAATAGCATTTCAAGCTAAAATATTGCAGGGGTGTTTGGTAGCATACCTTTAATAGGATTTACGGTAGGATTTAACGTAGACCCAATGAAACATTAAAATAGGAAAGTTAAATGGTGTTTAGTTGCAATATGAATTTACATTAAATAGGATTTATCAAATCCAGTAAATCTGATATTTTGTGCAATAGAAATGAACTCGCTAGCGACGGTGGAAGAAATTCTTAAATCCGTCTCACAATTGGATTTAGTAAACAGATTTACGCCTTAGAAAAGCCAGAACACGGGGGAGAAAAGACGGAATGAAAAAAAAATTGACTTAACATAGCATTGGATTTAATTTTTATTTTTTTCTGTTTGACTAAATTTACACTAAATCCATGGCTAAAACCTATTTAAATTATGCTACCAAACACCGCCTGAATCTAATTTTGTTTTCTTTTTTAATGTAAATCTGAATTTATTATATATGATCTGTAGATGGATTTAACGGATTTAACTTAGGAAAAAAAACATACCAAGCAGCTATGATTATCGCTTCTATGGTCCACAGTACTCTGAAGGGAGGAGGATTCGACAAGATCGTCCCACTATCCGTCGTCAACTTCAAACAGATAGTTCCGGTTCTTCTAATAAGAAGAGGAGGGCCATGGGAAATGCTTTTCAAGGACATTTATGAAAGTGGTCTTACCGCGAGAAGAAAAGGCAAAAAAGGAACGAAGGAGAAGCCAATGAGATTAAAGCAATCCATTCAAAGACTCTGCACGGATAGTTTCCAATGGTGAAAAATTGCATTGGAGTGATGGAGGGTAAAAAATGGAGTTTGAGGAAGAAGATGATTATACAGTGCCCAAAATGTTCCTCAGTACCACATGATTGATCCAGTGATGGGAGTAAGAGCATTTACATAAATAACACTCAATTTTATGTTTTTACTTATCTAACATCTGAACTTTTATTTTTACATTCAACAACTAAATTTTTAATATCAATAAAAAATAGCCAAAACTGTTTAGGTATGTTTAAACTAGTTGAGTGATAAGTCTTGAAAAAAATATGCCAAACACTCTCTGAGGATTTAACTGGATTTAACCTTAATCGAACCAAACACTAATCCGGATTTAAGAGCATTGGATTTGTTAAATCAGGATTTACCGGATTTATTAAATCCTACTTAACTTAAATCCTGGATGCGTCCAAACACCCCCTGAAAGTTTAATGTAACTTCACCAAAGTACTTCAATAGCACTGCATGGTACTAAAATACCAATAATTTTGCAATAAGAAAACTATATATGCTAAACAGATGAGCAGACAAATTCAAAAAAAAAAAGCAACACCTTCAACTCCAAAATCTGGAAGCAAGAGATGGCGACTGTATCTGTAAATCATTCCAGGATTCAAACCATTTGACGAAGCGCCATGCACACCCAACATGGAACTACAACTCGAACAAGAATGATTGGCTTCCATTTGAGCAGTTTGATCAGCCTTCAGCTGAGCCTCAAGCTGTTCTATACGATTCTCAATCTCCATTCTATCTGATTTCAATTTCTCGAGCTCATGAATTATATTGGCAGGTCCATTATCCACAATTTTGTAATCCATACTATCGTTCTTTTTTTTTTACTTAAATATCTGCATGCAACAAAGCAAGAATCAAAATTCAATAAGAAAAAAACCTTTTTTTGTTCTAATATCGATTCTATCATAGAGCAAAAAAATGGAGTGAAATACAACGAATGCTTCTAATGGTAAAAAATTAAACAAGAAAATAGTAGTTACGCGAGATTAAAGCAATTATATTCATGCTTGCAATGATCAGAATGCTAAAATACTAGAAACAAATAATAGATTGAGCATAACGGATCGGAAAATATAAGCTAGAAACAAATAATGGATTGAGCAAAACGGGTGGGAAAAAATAAGCAATGCTCTTAAAACTTTTGCCCAAAAGCATAATTTCAATGTTGTGAAACAAATTTAGTCATAAAACGCCATAAGTTTCATCGGAGAAATGAGCGCTCGGCGGTATGGTCAGGAGCGAGCTGAGATGAATGCGGAAGAAGAGGCGGATTACCTACTGCCGCATTCGATCTATAAAGACACGGGGAAACTGTCGCTAGAAAACAGGGATTTTTGCTTCCGGAGAAGGATTTATAGGCGGCGAGTTTTGGTCCCAATGGGCAGTCTAGTTGCAAGCAAATTTAGTTTCAGTAAATTTATTAAATTCTGTAAATTTGAATTTAGAAAATTTTTAATATCTAAAATTATTTAACATGTAAATTCTAATAAATATGGAGAAAATGTTTCGTAATTTTTATAGAATTTAAATAGGATTTATCTTCCTCCGTCTTTAGATTCTCTAAATCTCATAACAAGATTTAATAAATTCTAAATTTAAGGCAAAACAAAGAAAAAAAGATTTAAGAATCAGTAGGATTTAGCGATGACTTTTTTGTCATTGGGCAAGATTTAACATAAATCATGTATAAACACTACTTAAAACTGGATACCAAACAACCCGTAAGCGTTGTATGGCAAAAAACTCCATTTATGTTAGTAGGATTTAGTAAATCTTCAATATATATATATTAATATAATAATAATAATAATAATTAATTTTATAAAATTTAATTTCAATTTAGTTCAAATTATAATAAATAATGATTAATTATTTACTAAACTAATTGATTATTAATTCTAAAATTATTAAACTAATTACTTATCAAATAATAATTTTACATTAAATTGTTATTAATTATATTACTAAATAATTACTTTAAATTAAAATTATTTTTTACTCATTAATAAACTATTACATAATTTTATTGATTAAATAATTTATTAATTAATTATTAATTATCATTGGATTAAAATAATAAAATAAATTTAACTAAAAAATAATATAAAATCATAAACATATCTTCTCTTCGCATCTATCTTCTTTGCCTAAGACCCTTCCTCCTCTCCGCGCGAAACCCTCGCCTATTTTACTCCCACTCTTTTGACTTCCTAGTTTCACCCAAAACTCTCTCTTTTGAGACCAAACCCTCACCATACAGTTGCAATTAAATATAACTTGAATGGCAATGACAAGATTCTGGTGCACAGAGATCCAAAATTCCTATCTTTTTCCTCATTCTGCTCCGTTCCAACTTAAAGGTAGCTTCACATTTTCATTATCGCGTGCAAGCCCGTCCCATATTTACTAAATCTACAGATTTACAGAATTTAAGGTTAAAATCCATGATACTTGAATTTATCAAATAAGTGGCTTTATGTTGTCTAGAATGATTGTTTGCAAACTTAATGCTAAACCCTACTCTAAATATTTTACCAGGCAAGCCCTAAGAAGTCTCAAGTCAAGGGTTTTGCATATTATCTTTTTTTTATTAAATTTCTAATGTTGTTTAACCTTAAGGCCTCTAAAATGCATAAATAGCGCATAGTTTTTTATTTTTTGCATATTTATATAAGAAAAATTGATTTTTGAGGTGTTTCAAAGGTATACAACGATAGAGTAATGAATTACCATCTTAGTATTCCATGAAAACCCAACACACACTTAAATAATTAAAGAAAAGTAAAGGGTAAGAGACATATCAATTTTTATGTAGAAAATGTTGGAAAAAGAAAAAAATTATGGAGCTTAACCCAATTAAAATAATCCACTATGAATGGTGAATACAAGGATCCACTCTTCTCATAAATTAGAGAATATGGAGTTTTAAATTTGATCATTGTAAATATACAACAGTAGTTCATCAATAATAACTATAGTATGAATGTAATGAATGTATTTCTCAATGATAATAAGTTGCATTTGTGGTAGTATATTGTTATGGAGATAGTTGTCAATCATGAATATTGTACAGTGCTAACTTATTGGGTAGGTTGTAGTTGAAAGTTATGATAATAGTTGGTCGTATGGACTGTTTTCATTCGTTTTTCTCTCTTTTATTTTTGGAGTCGTCAGTCTATCGATCTTCGTATACATTTTTTCTCCAAATAAATATCTTTTCCAAGTCATGCGAATGATCGAGAGAAGAACGAAACCAGAAAAAGGATATACGACAAAGCAACAAACATGAGAAAAAGTGAAACGTTGAGAGTCTATTTGTGGTAAACATTACAAGGATGGGTCAAAAATGTCTGCTCAAACAAAATCGGGTGGAAACACTTTAAACCAATATCTGTGAAAGTGCCTACGTGGACTACCCAGGTTCATGTATAGATGTCTGTTTCAGGATCATGAATACCCCTTAGGGGACATATCCCACTTGATTAATTACGTTTTGAGGGTTGCCCAAGAATACTCTTGATCCAAAAGTGATTTGCTTGCTTGAGGGTGGCAACAAGCACAGGGCTATCGAAAGAGGTTATCTCGCAGGGGGAATGTTATGATGCTTCTAAGCTCTCGCTAAGTCATCGGGCGGAGAGTGAGTCTCTCGCATCCTAGGTGGGTAGCGGCTCATCGGCATATGGAGCTTGTGAAATAACTGATTCATCCCAATAGGGGATCCCGGTACCTCAAACCATATCTGGGTCATAAGGGCAAAGGACAAATTTTCAGTCGAGCCGTCGAGATGATACCAATAAAGACAAAAGAAGATAGAGGGCTCAACAAGTGTAGTCAAAGGAAGAGAGGATTAATCCCTAGAACGTAGAGGTAGCCAAGTCAAGATACCGCTGACCCATCATCCCAAGCTAATAAGATCCTAAATTTGTCTGGTCATAAAGGTAATCGACCCAACACGGCCTGAGATCCCCGATTAGCAATCCGTAAATTGTGTCATCCACGGGGAATCTCGGTAGCCATATGTTTGAAAGAAGGAAAATTATCGGGTGGAGCTTTAAGAAGTGGGTTTTACACCTGCCAAATTGACGAGGATGCCTCGGGAACGAGAGAAGGGAGGTACAGCTACAAAGCTATAAACACTTTGAACAAGAAGACTTACACCCTGTCTAGGTTGGGGAGCCTTTTAACACCTTAGGCGCTCTATACAACCACCTATGTAGAAATCTATGTCTGGCCAGTCAAGTTGGAGAAGCACGGGAACTTATCTTTAGGACATGCAAATGTGAATGCAGTTATCTAGAGGAGTCCATAGATTTTGTGGAGGCCCTATTATATGGCCTGGGTGATATTCATGTTATGCAACCCATTTTAAAACCGGCCCGAATGACAAATAGAAAAGTATAAGACATATTTTAAAAATCCTGAATATTTTAATCTTAAATTTTAATTATCTTGAATGTTTTATTAAGGATTTTTAAGTAGAAAAATTATAATTTAGTGTCTTTAATGATCTTATATTATAATTTTCATGGAATCTCAGAAGCACAAAAATAAACAATAAAGATAATCCAGGCATGCAAGGCACATAGAGAAGAAAGCACTTTAAAAATATACAAAAGAAACTCAAAATGTCGTTGGGTCGAAAACATATCCTAAGAAAAGCAGAAAAAGTGATTGGACTATGCATATACATGTCTGATTCTATATCTATACAAAAATCTAGAATTCAGACTTAAGGTACGAGACATGAGCTGATGCTCGTTATTTCTGTCAAGTGGTTTGGTGTGTCATCCGCCTAGAAACTCATACCCGTACCTTACTTCCAATACAACTAAACCTAAGGACTCTATCAAATACATATGAAAGAGAAAATAAAAGACTTGACCTGCAAAAAACAAACGTTAGTGGAGAAAGTCGTGCAACGCAAAATAGGTTGTGTCTTATAATTCGGGGAGCTAAAGAGCACTTGCAAGCAAAATGTTGGAAACCATTACATGCTCCCCCATAGCAGCACCTGTGTGAGTGTGTATATAGGCATGACACCCTGCAGAAGAACTTTCTACTATACTACCACACATAAAAACCACACAAACACACCAAAAACCAAAAGGTGACGCATGGCTAGCACAAGATAAAGCCAACATAAAACAATAGCCATATGTGTCCAAAAATACTACCTAGCACCCTAAATCCTAACCTAGCACACCATTTAACGATAAATGTTCTAACCAGCATCTAAGTGCATTGTAAGTCTTCGGGTATGTATGATTTTAAGGGGTCATCATACCGGCCTCGTCCTAAAGATCTAAGAGATCTAAAAGGTGTCACTCAGTATAAATTTTGAAAAGGTCTAGCCTTACATATGGCCTAGTCTGCTACATGTATACTTCTAAAATTACAGCGGATTTAATAATAAGTAAAAAAATTATACAGTTCTTTTTATTTTAAAATAAGGATCATTAAATGTGAGTCCGCAACATGCAAGGTGATACGAGTTAGATCTTATGGATCCTTAGCACAGTCATACTCATGTCAATTCTGATGCTCGAAGATTTAATTCGTATTACTTGCCTTAATCAACCCGACAAACAATGTTTATTAAGATATCGAGAACGACACGAGTTGTCGGCACTATTTTGGTTGGAAGAGTTTCCCGTTGGAAGCTGTCGGTCACCAGAATCAAAATCCCGTCGCCCGCTTCGAAAGGACATTTTAATTTATATATGTATATATAGTTTTAGAAAAATATGAAATCAAACTGACTCACAGCGACTTTATATATGTTTAAAAATACTAGAATTTGATACTGCTACTAGAAGATTTAAATCCCCGGCAACGGCGCCAAAAATTTGACAACGGTTATAGATTTGATAAAGATGTGTATAAAATATTCAATAGTTGCAAAGTCACACTTATCAATGCAAGTACACGTATCGCTCAAGTAATACAAGGCTCTAATGGAGTCCTGGATATCGATCCCACAGGGAGTAATATTAGAGGCTACGAACTAAGATTTAAAAAAAATCAATACTTAATCACTAATAGGCAATTGAAATAAAAATGTAATTTTAATAAACTCTTAATTAACTAATTATACTAATAAAATTTCTAATGTGAAGTTTAATATATAAGAAAGCATCTTTCTCCTTGTCAATAAATTTAAGTGAATGGATAAATTGAATCAGTTCAAATTGTATTGTGCCAAATAGAAGCATACTTATTCTTTGCCTTTTAGATCAGATATAAAGAACATTGACTAATCATATGCTTGGTTACTGAATCTGCGGCTAGGCTGAGAGGATACCGACCCTCATTTCGGAGCTCCCACGCTCC